TCTATCTATCTATCTATCTGTCTGTCTGTCTGTCTGTCTGTCTGTCTGTCTGTCTGTCTGTCTGTCTGTCTGTCTGAACACAAACCTATTTTTTTTTTTCCCTCTAGCAACAAATGCAATCAAAAAAATTCCCAATGAGCATACATCTTACATGTAAGATATCATTTTCCTTTCATTTTCTCCTAACTTATTTGCTTTACATCATTTTGCCTGTTTTCTTAAACACACACACACAAAATACACAGTTATAATGTTTGGCTTAACATTATTTGCTGTTATTCAGAAAAATGCTTCAGTCAAATAAGAAACCAGTGTACTGTACTCCAGTATTTAATAAAATCAACAACAGGTTAAAGAATATTATGTCTGTAGAAACAGCTACTCCCTTTAGAGATTGCTTGGACAGCAATACTGTTGATGTAGAAAAGATATAGTTTATATGGTAATAAAAAATGGCAGGATTTTTAATGTGGATTACTTAGTTGTGACCTCAGGAAAAATCATACATTATAATAAAAACGAATCGTAGTACTTCAAGAAACAACATTTTTATTTGACTAGTTTCCTCTAAGAAATCCCCATGTTTTGTTTAGACATATTTTTAATCCCCACACATATACATTTGTATGTTTAGAATATCTTCAGTACAAATGTGTTGATTAACTATGTTGACTATGCTGGAGAACATTTTCTTCTTTACATTATCGGCTCTGTTTAAACTCTTGTGTAACTGCACACTCTTTATGTTTGACTCACCTGTTTAACTTAAGGGCTTTGCTGACTTTCTCTCAACGGGACGTGATGTCATCATCAGACTTCACCTGGTCTTTTCCCAGAATATTAAAACATAACAAAATGAAATAAGTTCAATTTTAATAAAGGATAGGACTTTTTGAATCTGGGGTTCTTAAAAGCATAAAGAATTTGCTTTTTCATTATGTCTGCAATTTTTTTAAGCTTCCACTTTGTGTGAGGAATGTTCCACATTAGCTGCTGGTCGGGCCAGATAACTAAACATCTGTGTAATTCAGTCAAACATTTTGAAGGTCTTTCAGTGAGAAACTGATATAAATACTTCAAAGCGCACAGAGCATTCATTCCTTCAACATGATTTGGCTTGTGGTTTTCCTCTCCTGCTTTGGTATATATACTTTACATCATTTTATTCCAAAAACTATAAACATCCATGTCATTACTGCTTCCTACATGTATCATTGTGTGTTTTTCAAAAGGGCTTATTTGTTGCAACGAACCCTTTAACTATAGGGTTAACAATGGGAGGGTCATAGGAGGCAGTGATGCTAAACCAAACACCTGGAAATGGCAGGTAAAGAATAATTAAACCTCTGCAGATAAAATCAAACACAGCATACAGATAATTAGTCGTTTTTTCTCAGGTTTCACTTCAGTTAGATTCATACAATGAAGGTTCCTTTGGCCACATCTGCGGAGGCTCCATTGTTGATAGTTTTTACATCTTGACAGCAGCACACTGCATCATAAGGTTAGTTTCTCACATCAGACCCCTGAAGTTCTGATAAAAGTATGCAATTGTATTGTTTCTTTTCTCTTCCTCTCTCTGTCCCCATCAGCTCAGATGTTAGTCAGTACCGTGTGGCGGTTGGTGAGTACAGCCTGTTTGAATTTGACGGCAGTGAGCAATTCACCTCTGTGGAAACAATCATAGTTCATCCTGACTGGAACGGAGATCTGGCCAAAGGGTAAGTAGCAATTTTCAAAATGATATATCTCCATTTTAACATTAAATTTACAAATAGAAATATGAAAAATATGAAGCATTTTAGATGCTTCTAAATGATAAAACAAACTTTTTTATTATGCTTACTATTTATTTATTTATGTATTAACTTTATTTCAAATAAGAGATAAAAACCAAAAAAGTTATTTAAAATAAATTTATATCAGATTTAATGTATTTATCATAAAATAATTTGGGTTGCCATGTTGCAAGGTGGATGGAGTATCCAAAAATTGTACTTACTAACTCTAAAAACAACGTTTTTGTAAATAAGCTGTATAAACTGGATCAGTGGGCTGCTGTTTTATAGTCACTGTGCATTTTCTTTTACATTTTCATGTGAGATTTTCATTCAGCAATATTTGTCTCAAAAAAGAGTCTCAGTGCTGCTCATAGCGGTTGAGCCATGGCTGTTGCAGTCTAATTTCCCTATTGTTTAAAATAGCATGTGTTGGGATAACCATTTAACATAATATCCCCATGATAGTGTATAAATACAACTTACTCAGAAACATAGCGAGTCGTAGTGAGAACTGTCCTTCGCTGCTTCAGCAGCAACCTTTTCCTGCATTGCTTAGTCATCTTTACCTTACAACTGGCTCGACTTGATAAGGGCCAGCTGGGTTTTACAAAGCCTTACTCATACTTCTGGGTGGAAAGGGGTGGAACATCCCCTGTCTCAAAACATCTGTCGGTGTTGTAATTTCCAGTATCTCTCTGTTCACTCTCCTTGTTTCTATAAGGCATAGCTAGGCTAGGCTATGTTTTCACAAGGGGCGTGTTACACTTTAAGAAAGAGTTGCGATATGTCAACATATTTTAACCAAATCAAAGGTCAAAAGCAAACAAACAAAAAATGACTCATGGGCAAATAAAAAAATGTATAGATCTAACAAGTAACTAATCATACAGACCAATTTATCATTTAAAAAAATGACCTAAAGACAATACATTACCAAGTTCAGGCAAAGAAACACTTTTCAGATTTTTCCTTTTCACCAATAAGCAGTGATGGGACTAACGGCGTTACCTTTTTTTAGTAACGAGTAATCTAACTAATTACTTTGACTGTAACTATAACGCAGTTACCATTACCGACACCCCGTTACTGCACGTTACTCAGGTCGCACAATGAACCTTTTTTTCATGATAGGACTCGTGCGCACCTTATCCTTAGAGAAGGGAGGATGAGATTGGCTGTTACGGGTGTTAACGTACAGCACACACAGAGAGTTAGAGAGTGAGGAGGGCTCCAGCAGCAAAAGAGCGTTTTCAAGATGGAAATACCGGTTATTAATTTCATATACTCACCAGATCTGAACGCCCTGTTAAAAAACTTCACAGGTGGGGGCCGGGTGGTGAGGGTGAGAAACGCAAAAGTAACGCAATAGTTACTTTTACTAGTAACTATTTACTTTTATTGTGGAGTAACTCAGTTACTAACTCAGTTACTATTTGGAAGAAGTAACTAGTAACTATAACTAATTACTTTTTCAAAGTAACGTGCCCAACACTGCCAATAAGCTTATGAAACCAATACCTGGAGCAATGAATGTATATATAGTAAGTTAGAACAGTATGTTGTTGCCAGCTAAGTGACTTTTCAGACCCCTCTAGCAATTTTTTTTTTGTTAAAAGCAACTAGCTTTTTTCAGTGTTGGAGACTTTGCCAACGAAATGAAATGACCAATTGCTCTGAATTTACTATCTTGTGCAAGCAGCAAGTGCTGCTGCAGAGCCCTCCCTCCTCCAAAGCACTGGCAGGTGGTCGGACTCAGCAGCAAACTGTTTCCTGCAGTCAGAAGGACAAAAGTGACTTCCCTCTATTTATGTTCCTCCCTCCAGATTAAAATGCATGATGAAAATAGGATTTCAATATAATATTTAATCTTATTATTTTCTTTTAAACCTCTGAGTTAAAGAACAGTGAGTTTCTGGTAATATTAGTTATTCTTCCTGTTTTCCTCAGCAATGACATCGCTCTGTTGAAGCTGGCTAATCCCATCTATGACAATGGTTACGTGGAAATCGCAAACCTTCCCTATGCAGACCAGATGCTTCCTCATGGCTTCACCTGTTACATCACAGGCTGGGGATTAATGGACTGTAATTACACACTGGAAAAAAACATCAAATCTATATAAGTCATTTTTCTTTAAAATAAGTGCATTTTTTGTTGAATTAAGGAGGTAAAAGAGACATTTTGCCAATGGAACAAGACAATTTACACCTAAAATAAGAAAACAAAACTGCATGGTCTTATTTCAAGTACATATTATCTATTTATCTTGTTTTAAGAGTAAAAATACTCATTCCATTGGCAAACTGTCATTTACCTACTCAAATTAAGGGTAATTTAAGACATTTTTACTTATTTCTAGATTGTTTTTCCCGTGCACAGATCTATGATTGCGTACGTATTAAATATGGCCCCACAAAACACATAGATAAAATAATGAAGTATTTCATGTTGCCAACTCAGATAATGGGAGCGTCCCAGACAAACTGCAGGAGGCTCCTCTGGACGTGGTGGAGCATGCGGTCTGCTCCCAGCCTGAGTGGTGGGGCAGCATTGCTCTTAAAACTATGCTCTGTGCTGGAGGGGATGGAGTCATATCTGGCTGCCAGGTATGGAAACTAAAGATATGGTTTGTAGAATCTGAATTTAGAATGGCTAATGGCTAATATGTAGTGCTCTGGTTCCTAAAGTTAGATGCTGGGCACTAATCTGGGTCATAAATCCTGATATGTGGGAGAAGTTTCAGCCCAAGGCAAACCCAAACTATTCAACAGCTTATTTGCCAAATGAAAACGTCCTAACTGATGACACTGTAGCAGGAAGCTGCACCAAGTTTATAAGCAGTTTTTTCAACTGAGGTTTTTGTTATAATAATAATCCAACTGTGGACCCATTCCACAAAAACTTCTAAAACGCATAAACAAAAATAGCATAGAAAAACAAAAAACATTGTACTTTGTTCTGTTTTCTTTATAACGAAAAAAAACTCCAACTTAGCAAATTAGTATGTTAGAGGAATAGGGAGAACTTCTTATTTATTTAAACTAGTCACTTCTAATTATTTATGGCAGAAGTCTGGTATTTGATAGTGGGAGACGGTGGGGCAAATCTTTAATAAATTAACAAGCTTGATTAAACTATAGCCAGTTTCTTAAAAATAGATTGATCTCCTTAAGTTCTTTTACTGTATTTTTTTTAACCCTTTTAAGACAGATTATTTAGAAATACTTATGTGTAAAATTATTTAAATATGTAAACGATTTGATGGATAAATAATTTTAAAGTTACTGAATTCCAAGTGCCATTCATTGAACAGGTTGTGTAAAGTGTTGAATATGTTCATCACTAATTTTGGACTTAAGAAATCTTGCTCTCTGTGCAGAAATTCAGAGATATGAATTACTCTTAAATGATATTTGATATAATTTTTGATAAGGGTAGCTTTTACCATAAGGTGTAAAATTGTTTATTTTATCCAGGCATCTTTGGTCATCATTTTATTAGCTAAACAGCACACCGAAACTCTTCCACCAGTGGTAATTTGGACAATAGGTCTATGAGAACATTATGTGGTTTGAAGCTTAAGCCATTTGGAACCACTGATCTATAGAGAGATGTGCATGTTATGAAGTAAAAGTGTAAAGAGAGTAGTGTAGTTTTGATCATTCTCTGCAATTTCGTAGGGTGACTCTGGAGGTCCCCTAAACTGCTTAACTGATGGAGTTTGGAGAGTCCACGGTGTTGTCAGCTATGGTCCAGCCGGCGTTTGCAACCAACCGTTTAAACCCACCGTTTTTACACGAGTCTCTTCCTTCCTCCACTGGATGTATTCAGTAAGCATCTTGAAGCCACCACAATTAAGCCTAATGTACCCAGAATGAATATAACTGGATGTATTTTATTTTCTTTTTTCTTCTTTCTTTCAGGTTATGGATCAAAGATTGGAAATTAGACAGAAAAGTTCAGTCCTCTAACATGCAAGTCGAATTAGTGAAATAAAATTATTTCAAGAAACTCAATATTATACATCTTAGTCTCAAAACACTGCACCTCCCAAACACCAGATGTTGGTTTTTAGGCTTGATTTAGTTTAAAACTCATTGTTGAAAATTGGGCTGTTTGTTCGGTCTTATCTTGTCCCACTTAAGTCCAATAAAAGATGTTGAAAAGAAGTTGCAAACACAGTCTTCAACATCTTTTCAATGATCTGAAAATTACGGCTTTTCACTTCTTTTCAACTAAATGTAGACATTTTTTAGACTTAAATCATGTCATCTTTTCAACCAATTATTGCTTGATGAGTAAGGTGTGTCATGTTTTTTTTTTTTATCATAAAGCACAGGGCTCTTTAGATCGATGCAATAGCCTTACATTCCCTAGACAGTGTTGGAAATGCATTCCATATTGAACTGGTTACATGTCTTGTTGCTGTTTTTGGAACACAACCCCTGGGCTGTCATTAGTCCACGACCAACAAAGGTATTGTGATTCTGATCTTCTGACCTCCCAAGCTGTAGTCTGAGATGATGGAAAATTCCAAAGGATGTTTTTAAACCAAGGATCACAGGGAAATGTTCTTTTTCAGGCTGAAAAGTACTTAAACGGCATGAAAGAAAAATATTTTTTCCCAAGTTGTCAGGATCAAGGAAAGCAAAAAGATTTGTGCAATTTTCGCCCAAGCCTTCCTAATTGTGACCAAATGTGAGCTAAAAGCGGTCACATACTCCCCTGCCTGGAATTTCTGAGCCATATGTTTGTGGTGTTTGGGGAGACTACAACATGACATCATACTGAGTATTTTTCCATTTTCTTCAGACATGCAGGCTTTAAACAAGAGATATCAGGAGGCTAGGTTAAATTTTTTTTCCTTTTTTTATTTATGGAAGGGGAAATCATTTCTTTATGGAAATATTTCAAACGGCTTGTACACAAAATGGCTTCTTGACCTCATAAACTGTGCGCATTGTTAATTTTTATGGCTCAGGTTGAACCTCTGCGGTGAAACGTGACGTTTTACATCTGTTACATATTAACTTAGAATATTTTCTTTGCTCATGATCCCTTCTGGTATGTCTTTACCAGCTTTGGACATAGAGGATGGGCTATTGAATATACAAGTATTCCTCAATCTAAACTGTTAGGTTGTGGCTTTAGTTAAGTTTTGAGTCCTGCTGGAAAAGATGAACCTCCTCCCCATTCACTAGTCTTTTAAAGCATCCAACATGTTTTCTTTCTTTAAGACCCTTTGTTAATTTTTATCCATTTTCACAAATTGTTTATCTTCATTGTACCTGCTAAGAAAAAAAAAAAAAAAACACTCCCACGGCATAACTCCCCACCAATCAATGCAATGAGAGGCCTATTTATATTTGATTTTTAGCCATTTAGAAAAAACTCACATTTAATTTCTGGCTTAAAACAAATTCCTCACTTTTAAATTTAATTATTGAGGACTTTTTGTTTGTTGTTGTAGTGTGACCTGCAAAAACAGTTCCAGAAATATCCTCTTATTCTAAAATACCTGTAGCCAATCTAAGAAATCACAAAAACAGCCATGCATTTACAAAAGAATGTTTTTTTAATTATCATTTGGAGGGACAAGCTGTCAAAATGGCTTAGATGAAAGAAAGTGTTTTTGAACAGCAGGTTAATGTGTGAATATGTAAAAAATAAAGCAGCTTTGTTTGCTCTGCAGGACCATTTCAAGCAGAAATAAGCACAACACAAAAAGGCAAAAAGTAAGACACATTCTTTTGAAAAATAATAATAAATTGTACTGTAGTATATTACACTGATAAACACTTACTGATCCAAGTTCTTCATGAAATTTCATGTTTTATACAAGAGAAAAATGTCTGCTTGGAAAAAAAATGTGCCAGTCTTTGTGGCTTATGAACATATACAGGATGAAAATTAATAAAATAAAAATAAAAAAAAGGCAAAAAGCGAATAATACATTTCCAGTGTGCAGTTTGCACTTTTCAAAGTATACAGTTATTCTGAAGTAGTTTTATCAAACAGGACCTGCATGCATAATTTCTAAAGGGTCCAGAAAAGGCTGTTAAAACAGCTCTGGAAAGGGTGAGGATATGTACATCAGCTCTCTAGTGTCCCTCAGCTTTAAAAAGGTCTCAGTTGATAACCAATGAAATTTCAGGGTTCGGGAATAAAAACTGTATAATATATGCAGTTTTTAAACCACTTCAATACAAAATAACCTTTAGCATTTGTGTAATTTCTACCATACTTTAACCCAAGTCACAGACTTCCAGAAATATTCAGAAAACAATCAAATAGATTTTTTGCAATTTTAGTTTTAGTGGCTTTTCTCTAAGATATTCAAACATTTGACTGCCTATTAAAAATAATTCTGAACACTAACCTTCATAAGCATAGATTTTCTCTATAATTCATATATTACAAAGGTCGTCTCAGATTGAAAATTATTAATTTTGCTTTCTTAATAAAATATTCAATTTGTCAGTGATTAGAATTCTTTTCTCATCCTACATATATTAGTTAGAAAATATTAGTCTCATTTTTCTATGTTTTTTATAGGCAGCAATACAAATAGAATCATAATTTTCTTTATTTGTTTCAGTGATTAGGGAGATTCCACAGTTTTCAGTCCCAAAGCTTAAGTGGAACCGCTGCACGCACACCACAGACAAGCATGGCTCCTCTGATAAACAGGCACATCCAGTAAACTTCACGAAAGCCCAGGTTATTGCCAAAATGCCTTTAAATTAAATAACTCATGAAATAAAGACAGAATAACTTAAAACAAAGTGTTAGAGAATAGATATATTAAATACTTTCCAATGGACATGTGGTCCGTTTAGTGGCGGTTCTTACATGATTGATGTTCTGTTTAATCTCTCCTTTCTGCTACCCTTGCTGAGGTTCTAGGATGGAATAAAATTCACTGCATAAAGCGTGTAAACTAGTCTCCCCATAAACAGAAGGTAGCAGGGGGCACTCCTTGACTGCACATGCAAAGAAGCAATATAAAACTGGTTCTTGATTGCCCCTTTATAAAGCCACCCTGGGCAACAGCCTATATGAATCATGTCAAAAACCGCCACTTGGTTCCATTTCTCATAGTAATACCTTAATGTGATATGGAAAAAAAAAAAAAAAAGGAGGAAGATTGCACTTTAAGGTAAACAAACCACAGTGCTGTTTGAATGAGAATAGGCTTCATCAGAAATAAATAAAACCATAAAGGAAATAATTTAAAACAAAAGCAATAAAGAAAATACAGATACAGCTTAATTCTTTTAAGAATATGAGCAACAATCCTAGCCCATAAATAAGAAACTCCTTAATTTAGCATCAAACTGTTGAATCCATCCCAAACGACCAAAACTATGCCGATGCATACATAGCTTTTTTCACAGATAAAGTGCTGATCGAGGAGCTCTGACAGGGATTTTTTTTTTTCCATTGTACCTTTTGGGATGAGACCTCAGCTTTTCTTCACTCAAGTTATGTCCAGAAGGGAGTGGGGGGGACGCAAACAGGACTACTGTATACATCGCAACTGGACTCGGTTTTGTATGAAGGCAATCACAGCAATGGTCACCACACATTGCCTCCAAAAGCTAGAAAACATTGAATTCCCTGAGGTGAACATTCAGCTGTGTTGAGATTAACACCCAACCTGGAAACAGTTTTAAGGTTGATTCCTGTTTAGCAAGCGCTTGGTGGTCTTGGTTTGGTTAAAAAGGGCTTTCTTAGGATTAATTCATTTATATTGGCCTAGTAAAATTGATCTCTTTCCACTTGTAACCCCTAGCTGCCATCTCACACAGCAATCATTCCAAACTGAGTTGCTATCATTTTGAAGGCAAGTCTGGAATCTGAATATTTTGTTGGCAAAGAAACAAAAACAAACAAAAAAAAAAAACAAAGAGGGAAATCACAGCTTCCTCAAAACACGTTGACATCTTATGTGCATTTTTTAATCCCCTTCTAATACCCCCAACGCTAATACCCCCCGGTGGGTTTATCCTTTCTTACATAGTTCACATATTCCGTCAAACTTTCACAGACTCTATTACAGACAGTGTCATGGCTTCCTCCATCAACTGATTGTCTGTAAACGTAGCAGGAGGCTCTGGGACGGATTCTGAGAGACCGATCAGGGATTCCAGAAGGCAGGTTCCTGTGTCGCTCGCCGCTGGGAAGCTGGGGTAGTTGGGCAGCTGATAATGGAAATAGTTGTCCATGGGCTCATACTCTTTAAGCGAATTGTAAAGCGAGCTGTGTCCCAAGCAAGGGAAGCCATCAAAGAACTCCAGGTCAGACTCAGAGGAGAGGCTTAGGTCCATGTCATAGCTTGCTGAGCGGTCAACACTAGGAGAAGGTGTGTGTGGCACACTGCAGCTGTGGAACAGGCCGTTTCCCTGGTTGGCGTTCTCATCCAAGAGTTCTGAAATGGCTGTAGCTCGATTGTCTGTGTGCTGATCCGTGGATTCCAAAAGAGCAGTGTCTATGTTGTCATTTTCATCAGCAAAGTCCACTATGCTAAAGCTACTGAAAGCCTCTGTAGATGGCTGTTGCTTCTGATGATTTGGGAAACAAGTGTTTTTACTCTCCCTCTCCATGCTCTCCACACTGCTTGCATCATTAAAACTCAGTATCCGGCTCAGGCCTTTCTCATCGACGTCCAGCTGGCTATGATTCTCACAGTGGCTCTCTCCCACCTCAGAGTCCTCGCTTTGACCAGATGAGTCCGATGAGTCTGTCATGTCACTGCTGCAGCTGTTCTCTCCTGCTGCCATCAGCTCCGAGCTGAAAGGGAAGGAGGGCACCGCTGGTAGCTGCGTGCTGGGTTCTTTAGTGTTTTCCTCCTCCTCTTCCTCTGTGCTGGACTGCTCCTCTAGCCTCTTCTCCAGCTCCAGCTTCATGATAGTGTGAATGTAATGCGTCTGTACCCGGTTTGAGTTGAACTCAATGCGACCCTCTGTGTTTCCGCAGCCGTCTTTGGTGCAGCCACATGGGAAAGAAGAGTGGTCCATCTGGAATGAGCAGAACGTAACCGTAAAACCTTTGCAATGGAAACTTTCA